CCCCCCCCCCCCCCCCCCCCCGCTTCCCCATATAAGCTAGGGACTTGGCTTTTTCTAAGATGCTGACAGCGGTTTTACTGTTTCTCACCCGATCCTTGACAAAAGGTGAAATTGGATCCCAACACATTGTCATTCAGGTAGGATCCAAAGCAAATGTACTTTTAAAAGGCTCCCCTGTTGAAAAGGAGACACTTTGGGGAAAAAAAGCTCTGATCTGTGGGGGGGTTTGTGCCCAAATGGCCCTGTATCTCCTCCCTACTGGCCTCTTTCTAGCACCTTTGCAACCTCATTGTGGAAACTGGCCTCCTGGGGACAGGGTTTTGTCTGGCAAAATGTGAAGTGGCTTCTCTCCTTTTTTGAAAGGAGAAGCACATACTGTATTTAAATTCCTCTCCTTGAGCTGTACATTGATCTGCCACTTGCCTCCATCTGGGGAAAATTGGGGAAAGAGTCTCTTTTTAATTTTGTTGGACTGCCAGCTTTTGGGGGGAGGAGTAATTGTAAAATAAAATCCAAGGCAGGTTAGGTTTTTTTGGCCCTTAGAACAAAGATTTGGAGCCTCACATTTTCCTCTGTAAACCTCTGGGATTTGTTCAATGGGTCTGAAATTATGTGGGTTTAGGTATTTAAAGTGCAGATTATAGAGTCCTCCCTTGTGGAATGTTCGATTTTATAGCTGTGGAGCTATTCTGTCGTTCAGAGGTAGGTAGCCTCCTGTGGGTGTTAAGGTGGCCAGGGTCAGACTTACATAGGCAGATAGGAGGGGTGGGGGAGAAGATATGCAGATATGAGGGGTTTTGGAGACAGGTTAGGTCTCTTGGCAAGAAAAAAATATTCCCACTCAGTCAAGGCTCATTTGACCTTGGCATTTGGAGCACAGGGCAGACCTTTCGGGAGAGCACCTCATTGTTAAGCCTTCTGCAGGTCAGTTTACATGTAAAAAGCCTATTTTCAGACTTTTAAACCCCTTCTGTGGCAGAAATTCTCCAAAGACCATTTTTAATTTTGAGAAATTGCGAAGCAGCCCTCAAACGAGGCCTGATCCAGCATTTCGAATGGCAGCACAGACTGCTCACCGGGGGTTGCAAGGGGTAGTTTTACAAAAGCAAAAATCAGGCCTTCTTTCAGCACTGCAGTTTCCCATGGCAAGGTTATGATGCTTGCTGATAGACAGCTTCTCATTCTCTATCTTAAAGATTTTCTTGGAAAGGTTTTCTCGTGAAGGCTGCCTACTCCTGGGTTGGGTTTTTTTGTTTTGTGCTTTGTTTTTGTTTTTGTTTTTGTTTTTTTTTTTGTTCATTCTTTTCTCGTATGGAAAAAATTTAAAAAAAAAAAACTTTAAATGATTTGCACCAACTAATTTTGCCAGTGCCTTGGGAAAGCTGCCACTGAATACTGCCGCCCCCCCCCCACCCCAGCAGACCTCGTACATCATGGGTAAAAGTCAAAAACCTAATCCTCATCTCCTCAGGGGTCTGGCGGAGTGAAGCCATCAACATTGAGATGTGGGGAGCAGAGTGGCTGTGGCAAGGCAGATGTGTGTCTGCCTATCGCTCCCACAGCAAGTTTTTATCAAGCAGCATCTTGGAGTGGAAAGAAAGAACTTGACATTGGGTATTTGGAGACCTGGAGTCGGCCCTGCCACTTAAAAAGTTGGGCGATCTTTAGTTGCAAGACCGGGGATGATGGTTCCTCCTAGAGATTGGATTTACTGGAAATAGTGCATGTGAAGGCATTTGTTCCCGTGAAGCTGGGGCTGGCAAGTGTTGGTGGATATGGTGGCTCTTAAATGGAGAGCTTATTAATTGAAAGCTTACTGTGCACAGAACCCTGTGCTAGGTGTTGAGGGGATTTACAAGGAGGTATTCCGGCATAGCGCCTGGAGGAGTCTGTAATCTGCAGGAGGAGGGAAGATTGCACAGGGAAAATGGTTAAAGAACAATGTCTGCTTGTTAGAAGGCATATCTGGCTCTGGCAACCATTTCACCAGGCACTTATAAGGCCCATTTAACATTATATGACAATACAGGCTTCTTAACAGCAAGGGCCTGGCACCTGGCCAGTGTGCCCGCCTTGATGTTAGCTCTAACGCAGCTCTGCTGGGCCGGGCATAGTGACTGTGAACTTGGCACACACACCAGCAGGTTGGTCAGACAGCTGCTGTTTGGGGCCTGGAAGGTGGGGCGGGGGGGTGTTGGGGGGATAGGGTGGGGGTGGGGAGGGCCCTTCCAGGAGGGGCAGAAGAAGTACCAGAAGCACAAACGAGAGCTCCAACTCAAATTCAGGCAAGGGTAGCAGCCAGGACAGATGTGACTTTAGGAACTGAAAGGCTCAGCTGGGCTGAGGTGCTGGCTGAAAATCTAGAACGAAGTTGTAAATTCGAGGCTGCTGCTGAAAGTGAAAGGGGAGGCCTTTGTATGTACCAGGACCGCATTGCCTAAATGCATTGTTCATTTTGCATACGTTCAGCAAATTTTTGGTGGTGGGGGGGGGCTTCTCTGCTGTGAAGGGCCTTGGATTAGACTTAGCTGGGAATACAAGGTGGATGAAGCCTGGTCTGTGCCCTTAAGCTCAGAACTGATGATGGAGACCAATATGAAAAGAGGCGGTATGATCCAGGGGGTTGGCAAGAGGCAGAGGCCATAGCATGCCGTGGGTGGTGCGGAGGCAGAGAGAGGAGCAAGGCATTGTGGGAGCACAGAGGAGGGCTGCCCAAGGCCATCTGGGGAAGTCTGGGAAGTTGGTTACTCTTTTCTCAGTGTTTTCAGTGAACTGTGAACACAGAGGTCGATCCTGAAAGCCCCAAACATGAAGGCTGACCAAATCAGGAGTTCACTGAACAGTTCTCATACCCTTTGGTGGCACTGGACAGAATAGCTGGTATATCTTAAAGCTCTGAGTAGGGATGTGGCTGTGACTCTTGGACCTTTCATATGGCCTTCTGTCTTAGCTCACTGGCTGCCACTCTGGAGCTTCTGTGGTTATTGGACTCAAACATTTTGGTTTGCAGTTATGTTTAGGTCAGACTTGTATTTTTTCCTAAGTCCTGTCTATTGTACCAGGAATGGTATATGATAATTTGAATGTGTACTTAAGCAATATTGA